CAAAAAAAATTTCTAATTTTTTTAGCAATTTTAAACAGTCTGTATTTTAGTGGTAAATTGTCATACAGGAAATAAAAAAGTCTAACGTGACCCAAAACCCCCCTAAATTTTCAGATCGATCGGTTGAGAAGTTTTTCTGGACCGATTGATTGAAATATTGAAAGAATTGAGGGAACAAGAGTTTTGTTCCTTGAACTTGACTTAATCTTTTTAAAAATCAATAATTTCATTTTTTTAGTGACCTTCGTTCAGGAGGGGTATAGATATGGACAGGTTGATGAAGAACTCGGTTTAAGTGCTTTGGTTGTATCTCGTGCGTACAACCGATTCCGGGAAACAAATGGATACCAACGACTTGCTGGACAAGAACGATATCGAACAACGACTAGACGAGATGATCGAACAATCATTCGACAGGTTATCCAAGACCCTTTTGCTCCAGCAAACGTCATCGCTCGAAACTTCCCGAATCGCCAACAACAGCGACAACAACAACATCAAAAACAATAACAACGACAGCCGCGAAACATTTCTCGATTCACGGTAAGAAATCGTCTGCGCGAATCTAGACTTCGTGCTCGAACTGCTGCCCATGGACCGATGTTGACCGTTGCATATCGTAGAGCTCGTCTGCAGTACGCTCATAACCATGCGAACTGGTCAATGAAAAATTTGAACAGCGTTTTTTTTTCTGGCGAGTTTCGGTTTTGCCTGAATAGTAACGACAGAAGACCTCGAACTTGGCGTCGTACAGGTCAACATTATCAACAGCGTTTCATTCGTCCCATAGCTGCTTACGGCGGAGGATCGCTGATGGTTTGAGCTACAATTTCATGGGATTCTCGTACTCCTTTAGTGATTATTCAAGACACTCTCAATGCTAGGCATTACATCGACCGAATCTTGCAACCTCACGTGTTACCGTTAGCACGAAACAGGAGAGGATTTATTTTTATGCAAGATAATGCTAGGCCTGGCACAGCGAATATCACGTATCAATTCTTTCAAGAGGAACAACATCAGATTGTTCAGACATCCTGCAATGAGTCCCGATCTGAATCCCATAGAGCACATCTGGGACATATTGGGCCGCCGATTGCGTCAAAATTATTGCCATCTGAATAATTTAGCAGAATTAAAGAACGCTTTGATAACAGTTTGGCGTTAGATCCCTCAACGGATGATCCGAAATTGCATTTCGAATATGCGACAAAGGTTGCAAGCTGTAATTAGAAGTAGAGGCGGGAACACTCAATACTGAACACATACACATTACACACTTTAGAAAATGAGTTTGGAGTCGTAAAATACTGTGGAGCTGACGACCCACGAGGTCTCTGTTTTTCCGAAGAATCTAATACACGTGCGTAAGCACAAAAGAAGCGTAAATCTGACCGTGCATCTTCCACATGGTATGCTCTGGATAACACTTATGCCGGCGGTAAATCCGTAATCAATCAGAAACCTTGTTTGTCTTGAAGACGAAAAAAAAAATTTTTTTTCAATCAACCATGACAGACTTTTGTAGGAAATCTTCTGTAAAAAACGAAACCCTTTGTCCGTTCGTTGGACAACCAGTAGTTTCAGAGATATCGGCAGTTGAGTGAAAAAGAATCCTTTTGCATTGAAAATTCGATATTTCAAAGATATATGGTCGTATCTGACTTCCGTAAAAAGCAAATTAAACCTGAATGAACAGGCTATGAGAACTATGCATTAGTCTAGCTCGAAAAAATTTTTTTATGTTCGTAGAGTAAAATAATAAGGTAAAAATTTTGGAAAATTTTTTTTATTTTTTATCTAAGAATTGCATGGCTACAGGTGCTCCAAAAAATTTTTAACCAAAAAATTCAAAATCTAGAGTCTTCAAGCTTCAAAAGCTATATTTTTTTATTTCCTGTATGACAATTTATCACTAAGATACAGCCTATTTAAAATTGCAAAAAAAATTAGAAATTTTTTTTGTTCCTTTAATTTAAGCGAGACGTGTATCTACACAACCCTAGATCCTCCCTTACCTATAATTTTCCTCCCTTTAATTCACTTCATTAATTGTTCCCTCTACTATATTATTATTCTTAATCTTTATTATGTTTCCCTATGGTTTTTTCGGTTGTTTTCATAGGTTGTTTTCATTAGCTGCTGCTGATATAAGTATATATATTATGACGGTAAACGTCTGATTAGCGCTAACGGCCCAACCATGCGGCTGCCCGCGAGGACAGCACCTACCGGTTGGGGAAAATGTGACGAGGGAATTCGGCACGCGACGGGACGGAACGCGCGCGTATGCAAATGAACCAGTCGAGGATCAGCTATCGATATCGCCGGAGGGGAGTCGAGGATTGAAATCCGATCGCCGAGCCGTACCTTTGACGTTTTCCCGAGTGCAGAGACGATAAAAGAGAAGCTGTGCCATAGCCTGACGGAGTGGAGTGCGTGCAAGTGTACGTGAGCAGAGAGTTTCGCCATCGAGGGCGAAACCGTAAGCGAGAGACAACATCGCCGACAAATAAACATTACCGAAAGACATAGCGTATGCCGTACGAGCCTCCTTCATCTTACTTGTTACCCGTGCGAGAATTAATAAGGTAAGCTGGCCAGCTTAATTTTGCGATCGCCATAGAATTATCTATAACTAATCTCTCGTACTCGACAAAAAGCGTGCATGTAATAACTCTGCGAACTATGAGCGGCGAGCGATCCGACACTGCATGTTGTTGTCGTGCGCGCGGCATGTAAACATAAACACGCAGGCCGAATGAAGTGTAATATTAAGAGGCAATAAAAGTTATCGCTTGTGATACTAACGATATTTCCGACGTATTTATTTCGCATTAGTAGATAGTTGGTTAACTGACACCCGTTTCCTCCTGCTCTCCGGTTTTCGTGTTTGAACGTGTAGGTAACCACGCGCGCTCTTCGATACGATCGCGCGCATTAAAATAAATAAACGGTATTAACCCCGTTACAATATACTTATATATATTTATATATATACCTATTATGTTCTCATTGCCTGTATGATTCTTTGCCCATATGCTGATTCACGTACTCCTCTAGTTGCGCTTATGCGTTTATTTATTAATGCTCTTTGAATCTTATTGCTTATTTGCGCTGTTTTACCGATTCTATATAATTTTTTATTTAGTTTTAAGTTTTATTATTTTATTGCTTTATTGTTTTTTGTTAATTGTAAATTTTTCTTACCATACTTTTTATGGCTTTATATTTATTTATTATTTATTTTGTTATGCAGTTTTAAGTTCCTTTCTTTTCAATTGTGTTTTATTTTTTTGTAACTTTTATTACTTTATATCTGATTCTTGTTTTTACTAAAAATTTTATGTACTTAATATATTATATTTTCACTGCTTATAGCCTACGAGGTTATACCCCAAGGTTTAATACACGCTTAATCAATCAATCAATTTCTCTCTGTTATGCGACATAATGAAAGCGAAGCGCGGTATGTCCAATACTCACATGACTACTGAGGATCTAGACAGAGACCTTCTTGGACTGGGGAGTTATTTGTCATAGTTCTAGGGAGAAAATCATTTATAAATGAATTACTGCTTCAAACTAAATTCGAGAAATTCCTGGACATTAAACCTGTTGTAAAGGGACTTGGCTTCAGATATGTGTGGCACAGTGGCGAAAAATTTCTGATCCGACGAAAGACGAGTGAAAAGGCGTACGCATTTGATATGGCAGCGGACCTGCAGGCCATTAGTTCGGTATGGGAGTCGACGAGTGGGACGCGATCGTCGATCGTATCGGAAAGCGGGGCGGAATGCGCGATGTTATTGGAGGTAAGAGAATAAAATGGTGACAGTGTTATGAGTAATATAGGGAGGACGTGACTCGAGACGGTAGATACTAAAGATGTTGCGTATCACTGTGGATTTCTCAGAGCTGGATGTCTTAACATTAACTCGGTAAGGACGCATATTTAGAAGCTTCGTCTGTTTCTGGCTGGGGATGCCACCAATCATATTTTTGGGGTTGCTGAGACTTGGCTTGGACCTGTAATTGATGATCACATTATACGGGTTCTGGGCTACTCAATGATAAGAAGCGATCGCAACATTGGCGGGGTTGTCATTTTCCTTTTCATACGTAAAGAATTTCGAATAAATAGACTGGCATCATCTGTCATGCAAGAACCTGGGAAACCGGGAATACAAAAGTATCTATTTTGCAGTGTTGAGATGAACGACTTCTCTCCGGTGCTTATCGGGATCATTTATCATCCACCTGAAGTGCCCCAGCAGCAGGGCTCAGGTCATTCTGATATGCTAAAGGATCTCTGTGATGGTTTTAACCATAAGATCATCATGGATGATCTGAATGCTGATATGAGCTCGAGCTCAGATGATGTTCTCACTGTCACGTGTCTGGGTAGGGAACTGTTGCTAAGCTTGGTCCAGCATAGCCCAACTCACCATGTGGGAGATTTTCATACGTGAATTGATCTCATGCTGACTGACTCATGCGACACCATCATGGACCACAGAAACGAGTTGCTACTCAGTTTCGGTAAGTACGCAATTATTGATGTCGTGATTAACATGTATGCGCCATCTCCTGCGACGGGGAACTTTTCATATCACAACTTCTGTGGTATTCGCTCGGATTTGCTTTTAGATTTTTTGGCAGGCTGTGACTGCGCATTCATTGAGTTTGCCAGATCAGATCTGGAATGTGCTACTCAACTATAACTTAACCGCAGCCATTAACACGTTTGCACTTGAAAGGACGATATGCCTCAGGAAAAAATATGCTCCTTGGCTTGGATTAGAGCTGATGATACTTGTCGACAAGCGCGAAGCTTTGCGTAGACGTTACAAGCGTACTGGACGGGCGGATGTTTTAGAGAAGTTTCTTTGTTATTGTTGCATCATCAATTAAATAAAGGAAAAGTATATTATACAGTTATAAAAAACTTAATATTCAAATTAATAATGTTTAAAGTTCATAATATAGACTTGCCAAACCTGCTAAATTTTTCAGTACTGAAATAACTTGGTGTGCCATGTAAGAATCAAGACCTGAAGTTGGTTCATCGCAAATCATCAATGGTGGATCTGTTAAAACTTCAGAAGCAAAAGATAATCTTTTCATTTCACCTCCTGATATACCCTTTATTCGTCCTGGTATACCAATTATTGTATTCCGGCATTTTGTTAAGGCAAGCTGAAAAAATGGACAAAAAATGGAAGATAATAGTTGTAAAATAAAGAAATCTCACACTCAAAGATAATAATAATAGTTTTTCATAAATTTTTGAAAATTTTGTTCATTGCTGGTTGTGACAGTAAACGTCATATTAACGCTATCACCTCAACCATGCGGCTGCCTGCGAGGGCAGCACCTACTGGTTGGGAAAAATGGAATATGGGAATTCGGTACGAGACGGGACGGAACGCGCGCAAATATAAATGAACTAGTCGAGGAGAAGTTATCCGAGCGTCCAGCCGCCTAACAGCAAGCCAGAGTTTTCCGCCAAAGTTTCCGTGGGAAGTAAGAAGTGAGCCAGCCGATTTTCCACACGATAAGAAGTGACACCTCCGAGCTCGTGAGAATTGTTTTCGTAGCTGTGGTAGCGAGTGTGTGTGTGTGAGTAAGCATGAGTGGAGTGTTTCGCCATCGAGGGCGAAACCGAGAGCAGACTGTTCCTGTGAGGGACTAACGTTAACGAACTTGTCTCCTTTCCCCTTGCGAGTTGTGCGATGGATACGAAGGTAAGCTGGCCAGCTTTATATCGCGACTTTGCTTTATTTTCCTCACGATTACACGGAACTAATTACTAATACCTCGTACTCTGTAAGAATCGGTAGCGTGCATGTGCTAACCCGGCGAACAAAGAGCTACGATCGCTCCGACGCTGCATGTTATTGACGCGCGCGCGTTTCGTAAACATAAACACGCGGGCCAAGTATACTGTAGTGAATAGGGAAATAAACTAACTCGCATGAGATACTGATTATAATTTCGCTGTTATTATTTCTCACTAGTAGCAAGTTGATTGCATCTCTTCGATGTAATCGCGCGAATGAATAATCGAAATAAAAAGGCGGAGCAATCACCCGTTACATGGTTTTATAACAATTGGATAAAACGGACACACGTCCAACTGTTTGGAGTACTTCAAACACGAATTGTTAGACTATATAGGTGAGCGAAATAGTAAGAGATGGAGATGGTACACCTATGTTATGAGTATGTGTATGTGCGTGTGTGTGTATTTTTGTTTTTTTCAGAGGGTTGTAGGTCACAAATCTTTTATAAACGAACATTGTTGATGAATTCGAGATAGAGACTATGACATTCTTTTCCACTACTATCTGAATCGATGTCCTTCCTGTAATCTCTAGTATATAGTGGTAATCCTTTTTCATATTACTTCGGTGAGGACTGTTCTGATCTTGATAAATTTCTCTTCTGATGCTATTTTTCTTAACCTATCATACTTATAATTTTTTCAGTCTTTTATCTGCATTTATATTTCATTTTTTTCTTTACTTTTGATTCCTTCAACGATAAAGATTGCTATCACATTATATTTCTTCTATATTATTAGTATGGTAGCTATTATATAGTCTTATAATAATTTCGCTCCAATGTTCCTGCTATTTTTCTCCTATCCAGTTGGTTCACAAAATGCAAATATAGTGTGCTATGCATCATTCTTTTTTTCTCCGCATAATTTGCAGGTGCTGTTTGGTCTGGCTTCATTTGACTAAATCATTTCTGAAGAACTTATGATTACTGACTCCTTACGCCAGCCTTTATAACATTTCTCCATGTATACATAATATTTCCTTTCCTTTATTCTAGATATGAGTGCAGGAGTCTATCGTTTATCACACGATACATTCCATCCCTCTTTAGTTTTTATGAGTAGTGAGTATTCAGCTTTTTCTCCCATACTACTCTTTTCTTCTTAAGATAGGTCACCTTGATGCTTTCGTCGCTCTTCTTGTTTGTATCACTACAAGTCTCATTTCTTTCAAGAGCCAAAGTCTCGCAGAAGGTACACCTAATAACATGTTTGCCACATCTCTTGACACTGTCATCTGCTTTATTTTTCCACGTATATCCTACGTTTATTCCACTGTACATTCAACACACACATAGTGCAATATTTAAAGATGATATTCCTAGGAATAATCGTAACTCCTAGGTCTACTGAAATTTCAGGATTTCTTGGTAAATTTGATATTCATCTAGTGCATTTTCTCATTGTCTAGTATAATTTCAAGAAATATAACAAATGGTAGAACATTAATCCAGTTTATTCTGTATCTAGAAACGCTCATCTTTATTTCAGCTATTTGTCAGCCGTTTGTTTCAGCCGCTGTCATTTATTTTCAGCCACGATCGCGAACAGAGTGTATTTGCTGATCTCGGCGCGAGTTTAAGAGTTAATAGATTTTTCGGGAATTCTAAGGCAAATCCAAGATTTCCGACTGTTCTGAGTTGTGTTAGCGATACTCCGAGGAAAAATTAAAAACGTCGAATAAAATTCCGCTTTCGCTATAATCCGCTCGTATACTGCCCTGAAAGAAGAATTGCTTACGAGAGCTAGACCGGCCAACTTCTATGTTCAGGCGAGAGCAAAAACAAAATACAAGCTGTTGAAGCTGTGTCGTTACTTTGGAGCGTCACCCGCTCACTCCAAATGACAGACGTAAATCTCGGCACCTGTTGTAGTCAATAGCTACCAGCCGTTTCCTTTGCGTTTTCTGATTCGAATCTCCAACGACTGCTACAACCAAATGAGAGCAGTCTGGTGTCTGCTAAATAAATCGAAAAGATGAGTCACCAAGTCTAAGCCGTGACGAGATTTTCCTGGCGGATTAAACCTCAAAAATTTCTCCGACACACACAAAGTCCTAATAGTCTTAATTTAAAAATAATACCTACATTTGATTGATTATTTTATAAATGTTATCATTAACTATTTTTTTCGAATAAAGTATTTGTTCAATAAATTAGATAATTTTGATAGATTTAACAGTTTATTTTTTTCTAAAGAACACTGAACATGGTTGCGTTTATCAGTGACACAGAATAATCAGTGCAATCAAAGCAGAACTGACGGGGATGAGAATCAGCCTTTAGATCTCGTTTAGGTATGTAGCACCGTCGCTCATCTATCGCTCTCGATATTCTGTATATCTTAATATTCGCTAATATAGAGAAGGTATACACGTGTGTATCCGTATGTTGTGGACTATATATTAAGTATTTACAAAAACAATTTACAACAGTCTAACAGTGTTTTTCTATCAATTGTATTAAATGAATTTTTTTTTAGGAGACATGTATAGAATAAGAAATGAGCACGACAAAATAACGGTCGTGAATATAAGAAAGACTGATTAAAAATTCGCGAGCACACCGAGGAAAAGCACGCGGTTACGATGGAAGGAGGAACGCAGCATACGACTAGGCGAAATTGTTTAATTTTACTACGACTGCCGAGCCGTAAACGGAAAAAAAAATCTTTACCCCTCGTTTCTGCAATCCATCACCTACTTCCCATCAACGTATATGTTTGTCTATAGGTTTGGTGTGGCAGTTTTGTTTTTACGAATAGTGACTTATCCAACTTACGTAAAAATTAGTTAGTCTTTATGCAAAAGCTGTACGAGCGGAACTTTAATATCGCGTACCGGCCCACTATATCCAAAATTTTACGAAGCTGTTTCAAGCTTGTTAACGCTGGGTAGTAAATGATGGGCGAGATCCAGTCTGGATCGAAGTGTAATGTCTGGCAATACAATCGATAACTTAAGTACGAGACCTCTGTACAAAAGAAATCCTATCTTGCAAGGTTAACCTCTAAGCTCGTCTCGATCAAACGATGCAACATACGCTTAAGTTATATCATACAACTCTTAAAATCCCCACTCATAACCAACAAATCATCTAGATACTAAAATACATTAGGCTCGTACTCTATACTAAACAACACGTCCATCAACCCCGAAAAGATTACGAGTACGTTCACCAAACCGAAAGCCATTCTCTTGAATTTCCATAGCCGGAGACCTGACACCGCAAAAGCAATATACTGCTTACTTTCTTCGAAAAGTGGTATTTATCAAAATGCCGCTCACAAATCAATTTTCTACAAATAAAGCGCACTGTGTAATTTAATCAAAATCGAGTCTATGCTTGGCATCAGGTAAGCATCTACCTTGATTACCATGTTCACGAACCTTAAATCTAAACAAAACCGAGAACTACTGATTTCTTTACTACAACTAGTGCGCTACACTTCTGACTGCCCGACGGTCTAATTATTCCGACTTTCCATAAACGCATTGTTTATTTCTGTGTGAACCTTAAAATCGGAGGGGATATACGCCATATTGGTATTTTAATCGGTTTCACAGCCCCCACATCGATTATGTGCTTGATTGTACCCAACCCGACACTGCTGGGGATTCTTCTTGTTCAGAGCAATTCGGTAGATTAATGTCAGGATCTCCTTAGCTTCCATTGAGCCTCCTTATAAGATATCAAATCGGCACTTTCAGCAAACATGTTTACCGCGCGACTTTCAGAATCCGCAAGAGGGTACCAATCATCGTGATCACCGCTCGCCACTGATGATTATCGTTATTTCATATCTATTTTCTCTATTTGTCAGTATTTTGAGGTCGTTCATGGATATACATATATCTGAAGCTTGAGTGTATGTATTTTGAATATACATATAGCGAATCACGAGTGTACAATTGAAAATACTAGAGATGTAAGAAGAAGAGGGTTGAAATATACTTTTCTATCGATTTCTTTAAATATTATAGATATATTTTAGGAAAAAAACACAAGATCTTTGAATCAGGAAAAAACTTCAATTTTGATTCTAGTGAAATTTGTGCATTTCTGAATAAAACCAGATTAAAAACTCTTATAAGGTGCATAAAGTACAATGATTTCTAATCTCACAATTATTCTAAAGAAAGTATCTTATTCAATGTAAATACAACTACTAACAAGAATGAAATAGTATATTTCTAGGTTATTATTAGATATATGTTCGAAAATCAGCTAAAAATTATATAAATAATCGAATCGGTCAAGTTCTAAGATGATTATTTTTCATCAAATCTGAGTATTTCTAATGATAAATCGTGATTTGGGCCTCATCAGATCCAAAAATTTATCGGGCCCCAATT